TGCAAAACCAAGGATGCAGCATTTCAGGAGCACTTCTGCTGGTTCTGCTGCTAATATTTATTCTGAGTTTTTTCACACAGTTTTTTTGTTTTGTGTTTGATAGTGTTACTAAGGTTTTACCAAATTCCATTGCACGTTTTCTTTGCATTGATATTGATCATTACATACATTAATTTCACAGATGAGTTAGCAGAATTGACTTCAGGATAGTGTTTATTCAGGAACTGGATCAGGCTACATAAAACCACTGTTGTAGTGAAGGCTTTGTAGTACATGCTTTCATGTCAAGTGTTCTTTCATGCAGCCACTGAAAAGCTTTTATGCAGCAGAGTTTGCTGATGCACTAAATGTTCAATTAGAGATAAAAGCTTGTTGTAGTGTTTGGAGAGACATATGTTTGCATTCAGCTGAACTATCTTATGAGGACATTTGTACCTCGGATTCCTGCGGTATGATTGTTCACTAAAGAATGAACTTGACAATCTTGTGTCACTGGGGGTGTATGATGACATGCTTCGCAGAGGCAGAAAAGTGTTTTCCACACCCTGTTAAATTTGACAGTGTACTGTGAAAGACGCATGCCTAAGCTTTCTTGTCATGGTGAATGTGCCACCACCATGGAAGGAAAGCTTGTAAGAGAGGCTGTTTTTGGGGGATGTTGACATATATCTCTGGTGAATTAGATCACTTGCTGTTAATGTTTTGTGTAGCAGTTTGAGTGTTCTGAGCCATGCTGCTCATGCAGGCAGTCCAGTTCATATCATTTCCTGTCGTCTCTTTAGTCTTCCAATCAACTAAGTGCTAAGAGGAAAAATAAGTTCTGTTCTATTCATTGTTGCTTGCTTTGTATGTGTACCCTTTAATCATCTCCAGATCAGAATGTTGAGCACTGTTGCAGCCCTGGACTGAAGGTCACCTTATGCACTGTCAGTAAACACTTGTACTTGTACACTTAAAATAAATAAATAAATTTATTGTATGTATATTCATATATATATATATATATATATATATATACAGCTGCAGATAGATAGATAGTTAATTGTTTTTGTAACTTATTTAAAAAAAGTTAAACTTTCATATATTCTAGATTCATTACATTTCTAAAGTTTTATTGTATTAATTTTGATGATTAGAGCTTACAGCTCATGAAAGTAAAAAATCCTTGTGGCATGGAAGCGATCAGCCTGTGGCACTGCTGAGGTACTATTGAGTCTTCAACACGTCTGCATTGTTGGATCAACTGTTTCTCATCTTTCTCTTGAAAATATCCCATAGATTCCATATGAGGTTCAGGTCAGGCATGTTGGCTGGCCAATCAAGCACAGTAATATCATGGTCAGCAAACCACTTGGAAGTGGTTTTGGCACTGTGGGCAGGCGCTAAAGTCCTGCTGGAAAAGGAAATCAGCATCTCCATAAAGCTTGTCAGCAGATTGATGCATAGTGCTCCAAAATCTCTTGGTAGACGGCTGCATTGACTTTGGACTTGATGATAAAACACAATGGACCAACACCAGCAGATGTCACGGCACCCCAAATCATCACTGACTCCCTAATGTGAAGCTCTCCCAAGTGTTTGAATCGGCTTTGCTTGACAGTATTGCATAGTGCTCCAAAATCTCTTGGTAGACGGCTGCATTGACTTTGGACTTGATGATAAAACACAATGGACCAACACCAGCAGATGTCACGGCACCCCAAATCATCACTGACTCCCTAATGTGAAGCTCTCCCAAGTGTTTGAATCGGCTTTGCTTGACAGTATTCTCAAGCTTGCGGTCATCCCTGTTGCTTGTGCACCTTTTCCTACCCAATTTCTTCCTTCCAGTCAACTATGCATTTAATATGCTTTGATACAGCACTCTGTGAACAGCCAGCTCTTTCCGTAATGACCTTCTGTGACTTACGCTCTTTGTGGAGAGTGTCAATGATTGTCTTCTGGACCATTGCCAAGTCAGCAGTCTTCCCCATTATTGTGGTTTCAAAGAACAAGTGATACCCGGAATTTATACTGTAGGGATTGTCATTTAATGAAACTCAAATGTAAATATTCTAATATTTGGAGATACTGGATTTTTGACTTTCGTGAGCTGTAAGCTCTAATCATCAAAATTAAAACAAAAAAGCTTTTGAAATGTTACTTTACATGTAATGAATCTAGAATATATGAAAGTTTCAGGCAAGTTTGAGGCAAGCTGAAGTTTTATTTGAGCCTTGTTTCATTACCCTAGTGCAAAATAAATATACTAAAATGTCTTTGAAATACATTTATTTAATACTAAGTATACTGCAAATACGTTTACATATATATGTACGTAATAAAAATACTCTGCAGTTGTACTTTTGGTATACTAAACTGGTATACTTAAAGTCTGCTAAATTGGAACAACTAATTCTGTGCTTAATGCACTTTAATTGTGCGGAAGTAGAGCTGAAGTCCAACTAAAGATATACTGAAGTATATTTGAGTGTGAACTATTGCAAGTAAACTTCAGGTACACTTTAAATATCTTGCATTTAAAGACCGATATGATTAAAAAATCATACAATCCTTATCAATAGTGACATTAAAACACATTTTAGGCTTAATATTAAAGGTCCGCATATTGTACACCTTTCTGGAGTTTTATTTTAGGTTTTGATGTCCTTAAGAATATATATTTGCGGTATAAGTACCAAAATCATCTCAATATATTTTTTACAGCTCCTCTCTCAGGAGCTCTGCTGAGAACAGGTCGATTTTGGTCTGTCTAATTAATATTCATGAGCCTCTCTTCGGATTGGCCTGTTGTCTTCTGAGTGACGCACGGCCAGGCCAACCACAGGTAACTAGGGTCAGCCGACGTCATAGTGCTAGCTGGAGGCAGCAAAACAAAGGGGAAACTGGAGGCGGCCCATTCAAACCAGCGCAGATTTGGCTACATAAGGACAGTGTTGCCAATTTAGCTACTTTGTAGCTAGATTTAGCGACTTCCCCGCCCCTTTTGAGACTTTTTTTTTCAAAAGTTTAGGGACAAATATATAGCAACTTCTTGGACAAACCTTATCTAAGTTCTCATCTTGCCCAAAGATCTTTATATAGATCAGTGAATTTGCCATTGTGATGTCATCTAGTGACATTTAACTACCAGTTTTAGCTACTTTAAATTGAAAGCAGTTGGCAACACTGCATAAGGAGCTTAAAATATCATCTTGTTGTGATGTTGGGTGTGAGAATCGACGTAATACAGCCTCAAATTAGAAATTTGATCGCATATCTGCTGCCACTGCCAGACAAAAAAAAAACGACTACAGCTGTGGTTAAACGCGATAAAACGAGCAGACTGGACAGAAAGGATTGTCAGAAATGCTTGTGTTTGCAGCGCACACTTCTTATCAGAAAAGGTTCAATAAAGTATTGTCTTTTGTTGTTATGGGCGATTTATTGCCATGTTTCTTGCATCTCACGACTATGTCGTGTCTGTGTGCATGTGTATAAAACAACAAACTGAAGATTTATATATAATCATTTGTAATTGGATACATTGTTGTGATTAATTGTGGCTGGAACAATAATGTAGCTGTAAAAATAGTTGCCTGCTGAAATTGAAATGTATATACATCTTCATCATGACTAGATAGACACGGTGAGTTTGTCTTTACTGTACACGTTAGATGTGATCCACCTTATAGTAACAATCCTGTCAGATCGTCCATCCTTTGAGTATAACGTGTAACATTACAGGTCGGCCGATCTGGTTTCGTGGTTAACGTGAACCTTTTCGACATATTTCCATGTTGTCCTTGCTCAGCAATGGCATGGACGCGATGTTGTCTGGGGTTTGGCAAAAGGAGAGTGGGATGGTGGGTGGTGCTCGGGGTGGTGACTGAAGGCAGTGACTGTAGTTCTGATGTCAACTTTTTACGGAAGTCACAACGGTTCGTGAAAAATAGCTAGAACTTTAAGCAGGCTGTGTGCATTTTACTGTGGACTGACTGTTTTGAAACTTATATGGTAGTTAAATAGCCCCTAGACCTCAGTAATCGGGAAAAAAGCCAGGAAATTTCAGTTTTGAAAATATGGGACCTTTAAGAAATGTGCGTTGGGCACAAGTAGTACTCCAAAAAAAAACAGTTTAATTATAACTTTTATATCAGAAAGTCTCAAGCGATATGTCCGTAAATATGTTAATAGATTTGCACTGTACACTTACTATGAAATAAATGTATTTTAAATATATTACTTTTTTTACTAGTGTAGTTTTATTTCTAACATCTGTTCTAACCTCTGTCTACTGTGAAGGACATCTTCGCTTTGGTATACAATTGCTAGCGAACCTGAAGCATGACTATGCCTGTTCTCTTAGCTCAGCCTTGAGTCCACAGAGAGTCGTTGAGGCAAAGTGACTTATACAGTAGTTTTTTTAAACATAATGGAAATGATGATTGGCAGATAAGTGATTTGTGGTGGAGCCTTTTCTCCTCATATAGGACCACATTTACTCACGTGGTGATCTTTCTTACTCATCAAATTACCACCACTCGCTCCCTTTCAGCCAAACACACAATGTGAAGACAGAATGAATAACTGAATTGATGACAGCAGGCGTATTATGTGTGTTATTTCACAGTCCTCTCACCCTTAGAAGCCCCTGTCTCTGTCTTATTACACCTGATGACAGTGAGATGTTTTAATGCTCTAGTTAAAACAGTGAATGACCCTGTGTAATTGAAATCAATAAAGTTTCTGCAGCAGTTTGTGCTTAGCCCCACACTTTGTGTTAAATAATATGAGTGGGCTTGGCCAGGCTTCAGCGCTGCCACACATTCTGCACTCCTGCGGGAAAGTAATCAGAATCCCTCAAACTTAGTGTATTCCTGTAGAATGTTGCTCTTACGGCTACAGTACCCACAGCGGGGGAGGGAAGTGCCAAATTAAGAATGATTCATATTGGATTGCTCATTTTGTTTTTCTTCTCTTGTTTTTCCCCATTTCCTTCCCTTTCTTCTTGGATTCAGCCACAACCTGAGGACGACGACATTCAGGCATCCTGTGACGGGACATATATCCTCAGAAAACACAGACTTCATTTTACAGGACCAGTGAGTGCTTCTCTTCCTTTTATTTGCACAAAATGTACTTTAGGATACACACTTCCTGCTTTCACTGAGGACATGTGGTTAAGAGGTCAATGCAGGTTATTTGTATGGTTAGCCATGTTTGTGAAGTTCTTAAGGGCCTTGGATTAAATGAATAGCTGCAAGATTTTTGAATTGTTCTTTAACAGATGCTCGAGTAATGAGATGTATAGTAATGATTCACGAGCCACTGATATCATATGCCTGTGCTGGAATCAGCAAATCAGCTGGAAATATCCAGAGGTAATAGTAATGATGGCCATTACTGTTATTGCATTTTCCTGTGAAGGTGAGGTGGGTGTTTTTTTTGCTTGAAGCTGCACTACTAAATAGTATTTGAAATAAAGATATCTGCTAATCTGTACTTTATTTTGACTGCAAAGCAGGTGGGTACAGTGTTGGGCAGATAATTTGAAACTACCTACGCTTAGAATAAACGGAGAACCAGGGGAATGTTAATGGAATCAATAAGCAACCTGAATAGCTCAGTAGAATTGGAGGCTTGCTGTTATGGATTATTAGTCGTTATCAACCATAAATATACAGTAAATCAAAGTTAAATTACTATAATATTAATAATTGTTAATTTTCTTTAATATTCCATTAAAATGCGTACCACAGCACCTGTTCCTCTCCTCTTCCTTTCCATTAATTTCTGTGTCTTCCCATATGCCAGTAAGCTGAGCTGGGATTTCTACCTCATCAGTGCTGTGAGGGTTAAGAGAGCTCCGATTTACATGCCCCGCTGAGTCCGAACTCATTCTGTTACTTGCTAACACCAGAGGAAAGAACGAGCTGAGGGTTTGCTGTTTATTTTGAATGTTCTGCTGCCTGCTGAAACAAACCCAGGTGAAAACTATTACGAAGTTCAGCCGCCTACCTCGATTTCCCTGTTATCACTCCATGTTCTCCATATAGAGGTGGGCTCGTGGATTCAGAATGTTGGGCTCTCATAGGAATATCGCACACGGCTATGAAGACCATTTCTCATGCAGATGACAGGTAAGTAAATGTTGCTGCCAGGGTTGATTGATGCTTCGCATTAGGGGCACAGTGCGTGGAGGCCCTGTGCCAGGTTCAGGCTCAGATTAACCATCATCGGTAGAGTCACTTGAGCTTTGTGTCACAGAGGGATCTAGTTATTAGTTTACCAGCTTAGCTCACAGACCTCTTGTTTGAGTGCCTAAGAGATAAAGATCATGGCAAAACGTGTTAAGTGAGAGAGGAAGTTTATCACTTGCAGCTGTGTCGATAGGCCGGCGAGACTCTTAATGTTCTGTGGGCTCTTGAATGCCTGTGGTTTGTAGAAGAGAGAGATAGTGAAGTTACAGGACATAACTGGAATACTTACCACTCCTTGCTGCTCATAAGTGCTATTTTAAGCACAAGCCCGGCCTCATTCGCGCTTCTCTCCCCATTAACCCTGCCTTTTCCTCTAGTAATCTAGCTATGGAAACTAACCTCACCCTAACAGCTGTGATAAGTGCTGAACTTTGGGTAAAGCCTCCTAAAATATGTCATAATGTCAGCAGAGACATATGAAAATCATTCATCACAACCAATATGTTGCTGCAGGTTGCCATGGGTGTGTATTAGCAAGTTGTAGATCCCGAATTCTGGAGAATATGTATTTACTATGGTCGACTGGCACAAACACACCCTACCTAAATATGTAGTATGCTGATATTTCAGTTGATCTGAGTGCCCTTAATAGCGCTGCATACTCTCACCCCTTCTCAGTGAAGGGCTAAAATGTGTTCTGCGATCCCATTGGTGGTGATGACAGTGGAAACGTGTGCAGTGATAGAAGTGTTCTGATCCCCTGGTAGTGCAGCACTATTGATCTGAATGGCTAATCTGAGCTCAGTGCACATCTCCACAAACACTAGGGCTTGGTGCATTGTCTGCCACGAAGGCTGACTGTCTTTTTGTATGAATTATTCATTTATCTAATGGCCAAACTGTATACAACACTTATTGGTGACTTTTATTAACATAATTAATAAACATTGGTACATTGTCTCTGTCACATTGTACAATAATCTAAACAAATTAATAATTCATGTCCTTTTATTTATATATTTGCTAGGCAGTTGTGCAATAAGCAGGATATTGTACAGTCAGTCAGTCATTGTTTTTTTTAAAAAATACATTCATCACTAACAAAAAATTACCATTTAAATATCATGGTTTCTGAATATGGTAATCATTGAGTACATGGTACCTAACAAAGTGCTTCTGTATCTGATTCCATCACTCATGTTGTTGTTTTTTTGGTAACAGTTTGAGAACTGCTGTATCATCATGTAATGTAAGTAGAGCTCATTATATACCACTGTATGCTATGTATTATGCAACTTAATCAGGTTATTGTGTCTGAGGCTCCCCCTCTGTGGAGATCTGAGCATTTGGGAATTTTCTTTAGACTAAGATGTTGCTGTGGATCTTTCTCATCTCTCCAGCATAAAATAAAGGCCCTCTGTGCCCATCCATTCAAAAGACAGTGCAGGTAAATAATATGAAGCCTAGATAAAACACTAGTAAGTCCCAGGGTGCAAACATACTTCAAACAATTTTGGATGGAAGCCAGTTTGTGAGGTGAAAAATGAGGAGGAGAAAGAAGCAGCATTGTTTCAGTCCGCAGCTCTTCCCATGACAATGCTGCTGTAGCTTCCTGCTGTTTTGATGTGTACACGGGCCACAAACACCTCCTGACTCTGTCACACTACAGGAACTCCTCACATTCCACAGGAAAAAAAGCTGTTTATGGTTTTATTGAGGGACTGCCTGTGTGTGCGCATGTGTCAGTTTTTGGACAGGGTTATTGTGTTTTTACTGTAAGCACCCATGAAAAGCGTGCAGTTAGCCTGACATGTGTCTTGGAAATCTGCTTACTTTGGTGAGTTTTAGCAGCATAATCACATTTTTTTTGGATTGATGACCTTGTTCATTTGGATCATGCATTTCTGTTTCTCACTGGTTTATTTTCTATTATCAGCACTTGTATTTGTAGATTTGTGGTAAAAAGAAAAACTGCCTCAGATTCAAATGTGATTCGATAGAAATCTATAATACATTATTTTTGGTTTAGTTTTGTTATATTTTATCGGGTTATAACTGAATGTTATGTTTGTGGAATATAATATAAAATCTACATAATATACAATATACTAATAATTTAATAAATACTAATAAATTCATGTTTTTTTTGTCAAAGTGGAATAAGTCATATTCTGCCAGCAACAGCTCTATTACGCTATTACAGCTTTTCCCAAAGTTCTCCCCTCACATTGGATCAATTATACCCTTATGTCCCGAGTGTGTTATTTGATTTATGAAGCCAAGGATTTAAGAGCAGTAGGTTTTTCACTTATCTGCTCTCTCAATGTGTTCTAGATTCAACCCACTCATACATCAGAGTTCACCATATGTGTCCACACCTTCTGTGTGATGTCAGTGATGGTGTGAGTTTCAGATGATTCTCTAAAAGAGTGTCCCTGAGAGACAGAGCTGTTAGTAAGAGAGATTTTTGTTACTACTCTGATGGCCTCTGAGAGTCTACTACATTTTATAGACTCAATTATATGCTCGAGTACCAGTGTTGCTGTTTTTATTTCACTTACTGTAGGCCTTAGTCTCGCATAGCCAGACGTTTGACTGTCTGGTGCACTTTTGCTATTAATTTACCCACTTAAACAGGAAGAGACTGCCTGACTAGCATGTAAGATACCAAATGCAATCTGTTTTGTTTTTACATGCCAATTTAGTAACTTTTTAAAAAAGCAGAAAATTAGTGCGTCTGGAAATTAATCAAGTCAAGTCAAGTCACCTTTATTTATATAGCGCTTTTAACAATACAGATTGTGACAAAGCAACTGAACAGCATTAATTAGGAAAATAGTGTCAATAATGCAAAATGACAATAGTAAACACTAATTTTTCAGTTAAAGACAGTTCATCATTGAATTCAGTGATGTCAACATCCAGCTCAGTTTAAATAATATCTTTGTAGACGTAATAAAGACCCCTGTGGTTCTTGCTAGTGAGTGCCTCTAATTAAACTTTTACCTTGCAGAGATTTGGAGATTTGATGCCACCAGTAGGTATTGCTCTGCAACACAGATGAGGTGTTAGTGATATACAAAGCTGAAACCAGAGCTGGAGCTTACAAGGTAGAAGAAGGGAAAATAAATGAGATGTGAACAGTCTGGTACCTTGTAAATAGCTTTGTTTCCAGGCACACTGATAAAAAAAACCTATGCAGCCTTATTTCTGGAAGATGTGTTGAGCCAGCCAATCCCATTGCAGTAGGATATTTCAGCCAGCGCTGGGCAATTTTGTGGGTAATATGCATCAGACAGACTGTAGGCACTCTGTGGCTGTGCTGTCTGGTTCTGATTTTAGGTCTGCCCCCAGAATTTGTTCATAGTATTTTGTTCCATCGTATAAACTATTTACCCAATAACAAATTAATTTTGTATTTTTATGGGAAAAGGCAACTGTCTATCCAATGAATTATAACGCCTTGGATACCAGTCCAAAATGCCTTGTCATTTACTTGGAGGAGATTTAGAAATGTGACAGATGTTTGGTTGAACGGTGCAGCTCTCTGGTGGCGTTCGCTCTAGGTTATACCTTTCCCTGCAGTCTCTGAATTTGACACTTCTCTTTGACAGTGTTTGGAAGAAGTTTTTTATTTGTTGCCTGCAGTGGCAGCTCTGACAGTTTGTTTCACCTTTTTTCTGTCCTCTATCCCCCCCCCCCCCCCCCCCCCCTAAAAAAAAGACATTCTAATCTTTACTTCCAGGAAGCAGCCTGGCATTAAGGCATTTGTATCACAGTGATTGTGGCTCTGGCATTTCACAAACATTTGGTTAATCATTTATTATTAAACACCTATTTAACAAACATCACTTTTGATATGAGTGTTTACACTCTCTTTACTGTAATTCCAGTGGAACCGTTAGACTAATGCAGACTATGTAGATATACTGTAGGTTAGTACAGTGTTTCCCAACCGGGGTGCCGTGTAAAAAATACTTTTTTTATATTTTTAAATTGCTAAAATGTTCAAAAAAGTATCTATTATATAATATCCATTTCTGATGTCGCCAATAATTAGAGATGCACCGAAATTTCGGCTGCCGAAAATTAGTTCACCTCTCAGGATTCACTTTCTCGTGGTGTGACGCTCTGCGTATTATCCCGCTCTATGCGTGTGCGCTCCGCTCAGTCGCTCCACTCATATACTGTTCATGCGAATCGGAACAGCAAAGTCCACTCAAAAATTGAGCCGACAGGAAACATCGATGTAGTACAGTATTGTTTCTGTCTGCAATAGCCCTACTGTGTTGTAACATGGTGTGGTAAATGGGCAATTCTGGTAGCGCTGCCCTCTCATTCATTGATCTGCTAACCGTTATGCTCACAGGTCCTCTGATAATAATAGCTTTCTAGGACTAAACATTATTTGTATAATTGGTAAAAAAAAAAAAAAGTTAAATATCTTAACCCTACTGTTAGACCTACCTGAAAAACTAAAAAACAATTTATTTAATTCGAAGGCCTGTCGTTATTTTTTATTTGTGCTATCATTATTAATTTCTTTATTTGTTCTTATTTTATGACTGACTGCTTACTTGTCATTTTTTATTCAATTCAAAGTTTGAAATCAAGCTATCTCGTGCTACTGCAACAAAATTATCCCACTGTAAAATAAAAAAAACATGGAGTGAGCAAAAATTTGTGAGATAGCTAGTTATAATGGTAATTAAATAATGTTTACACATGTATAAAAGCCTACATTAAAATCTGTCATATAAATTGGTCTCTTCATTAGAAATTAGCCTACTGATTGCCACCATTGATGGACAATTTTTTTTAATAATATTAAAAATATCTGTATGACATTATATTCTGCAGTTCTTCCCTGTTGTACAGAATATCTATGCTTTCAAATTAACACGTCGAAGTTAGAAATTCAAATATTGTGACAAAATTAATTTTGTAGGGTGCCACAAGTTTGTTAAAATTTCCAAAGGGTGCCGCGACTAAAAAAAAGGTTGTGAAACACTGGGTTAGTAGATAGATATAGGTACTGTATGGTACATAGATATGGTAGATAAATATATAATATGTAGATATGCCGATACATTGATAGATAGACTGATAGATAAATAAAATGATAGATAGATAGACTCTCACTAGAGTTGCGTATGCTGAGTTATGATATTGTCTGTTGACTACTCCTCCTGTTCTGGTCTCTGAGCCATTTGCCCTCAGGGAATGTGTTTGTCAATGTGTTACTCAAGTCTCTTCCACTTTTGAACACTTGCATGCATCCCCAAAAATTACAAAAATGTACCTTTTTCACTGATGATTTCACCTTGTATTTGTAATCACACTTTATACCTGGTAAATATTGTGTCTTTTATTTCTAACTCTTGCAGGGCAAATTTACGCATGTCCAAGCCACCACCAGAGCCGAGGCCTCCCAGTATGGTCAGCGAGTCCTCTGTCACCGTCTCCTCATCCCCTGCGGACACCACCTCAGGATCCAGGGTGAGAAGTCCAGCCTCGTTTAGTGCTGATCTGAGACTGTTTTAATGTGGTAGTAGTACTGATTCTCAATAAAGGCAAACATTTACACAGAGCACTTCCGGTTCCTGAAAGTGCCAAGCTGGCTAATTATCTAGCGAGCCTGACCCTTACTAATGTGTGTGTGTATCTCATATTAAATCATTGGAAACTGATAATGTTTTTATAGGTACTGGGGAGAGTAAATTGGCCTCATCTATTTTGGCTATATTCCTCCAAATTTGATAAATGACCCAAGCCGAAGGTGTAATAGGTTACTGATTTTTCTAGCACCAGAGAAGCTGGACTTAATCTCCTGTGCGGGTTGGCTGCAATGTGCAGAGGTCATGAGGTAATACTGCATAGAACATCTGCAGGGGATTGAGAAATGCACAGAACGCCTCTCGCTACTTCCTGCTAATGAAATCTGAGCGTGTGTGGCACAGTTACACTCAAGGTGTAAATGCAGTAGAACTGTTTTACTGTTTAGTGGATTAATATACACTGCCATATGTAGAGTTTTTCCAGGTGTTAAAGAACATGGGCTGTAATAGAGGTCGAAGAACTGACAAGCTCTTACATTCCAAGCTGGGTGTTAAGCGTTTTTCATTTGAAATTTTTAATACATATAAAATATGTGATTAATAAAATTGTATTATAAATATAATTAATTACAAATAATTGTAATTAATATCTATATAAAAGTGGGTGTTTATTTCTACCTACATAAATTGTGTGTATGTGAACACAATTTTATTTATATAATTTGTAATTACATACAATTTTTTAAATATATATATATATATATATATATATTTACATATATGTTGTTTATCATAACTCATTTTGCATGCATACATACATTTCTCGAGTTTCACTGGTAATGAGAATGCAGAGATGCAGATATTTCTCCCTATTAGGGAGTGATTTTGACACATTGAAGTTTTAATGGCCTGGCCTGACTCACATTGGCTGTGTCACTGTGTGGTAAAGAGTCTGATGCTGGCCTGTCAATGACAGGACTGTGTCAGCATCATATGAGCGTTCACAAACCAATCGATCCATCTCAGAGGCCCTCATCTCTGCGCACACACACAGAAGTTGGGTTTCCATGTCCCATAAGGGACATTCCATAGGCCTAATGGTTTTTATACTGTACAAATTGTGTTTTCTATTGCCCTCCACCAACCTAAACCTACCCCTCACTGGAAACTTTTAGCATTTAAAAAAAGAATAAAAAATCTTTGAATTTTAAGCTTGTTTCCTCATGGGGACCAAAAAAATGTCCCCACAAGGACAAGGATTTTGGATATTGCCATCTTTGTTAAGACATTTTGTTCCCATAATCTAGGATTTACCAGGACCACACACACACACTTTCCTGGGAATAAACCAGGCTCCATGCTTGCCATTGTCTCGCTTTAAAAAAAAAAAATCTAATTTTACTCTCAAGTAACACGTTGTGCACTAGCGATGCACGGATGAGCTAAAACGTCACCCGAATCCGCAGCTTCAAATAAATGATCCACCCGCCAACCGCCCGCACCTGTATTTTTGTCTGATTTAGATAACCGCACCCGACCCGCACCCGATCATCACATTAGGGTTCGTACGGTCATGAAAAACCTGGAAAAGTCATTGAACAGCAATTTCCAGGCCTAGAAAGTTTTGTAAAAATAAATAAACTCAAAAAGTTTTTGAAAAGTCATGAAAATCTATCTCACAAGTCTCTGTATAATAGAATTATGTTTAATCAGATCCTGAATTTCGTTGCGGGTTTGCGAATACATCGCCTTACTCATTCCCGCAGCTTTTGACTTTAAAATGAGGGAAATTACTGCAAAACCTTTATTCAATATAGCGTGTAGGTTAGATGAGTAAATAAATCCACTCAAACCATCAGATGAAAACAGCGTAGGTGATTCAGATGTAGCCTACCGCATCTTCTCTCTTTGACTTTCGCTTCACTTTAGCTCGCGTTTCGGGACAGTTGACAGAATTGTCAATTGCCTGATCGGTCATTGTTGCATCATCACAAAAATGTATTATTTTCACGTCTTTTTAAGCCATTCGGTACTCGCGCTCTCCAGAGGCGCGTGCGCTCACAGTCACATCCAAAGCATGTACTGCGAGTACCAAATTGAGAAAATACTGTCGGTTTTGTCTTAAGTTAATGTAAACAGTTGCAAAATAAAACGCATGAGTATCAGTATTGGATCCGTGAAATAGGTCTTATGACAGCAGCCTAATAAAGCTGCGCCGTCTTTTATTAATGTTAATCAAATAACAAAAGACAGAGAAAATCCCTTACTGCTATTGACTAAATAATGTTTTGTTGAATAACTTTGTTCATTTACAGTTTATTCAATTTCTGTAGCCTATTTAAAACACGTTCATAATTTAGAAAATGTAGTTAATACTTGCATCATTAATGATTTATTTTATCCACCCGCGACCCACCCGCAAATAATCGGAATGCATTTTTTTATTACCCGACCCACCGGATCCGCGGATTATCCGCTGAGCCCGCGGATAAAACCGCCATCCGCACATCACTACTGTGCACTTTTGGGTTGGGTTGACTAATGGGTTGACTAATGATCAGTTGAATTGAACTTTATACGGATCAAGATGAATAAATGCAACAAACTCTGTTATTGTAAGCAAAAGTGTTTTCCTTGAACATAAATTGGCCCCAGAATGTTTTTTGACACTTTGGCCACCCTTAAAAAATAACAAAGTCAAGCATCCGAATGCTTTTGGATGCCACTTTACCTTACTGATGCCTATGTATGCAGCATTTTTTTATCAAATCAAATGAAGCAAGTGGTTTTCTTTTTTCTTTTTCCACAGAGTTTGAAACCCAGTGGGAAGGTGCATTGCTTTGGCAAGCGTGACCATTCCATCAAAAGGAACCCTAATGTCCCAGTGGTGGTAAGAGGATGGCTCTACAAACAGGTGCGGCCCTCAAAAGTGAAACCCTAATGCGAGTGATTACAGAATCTAATTTTGATCTGAACTGAATAGTGTTCAGATGTTAGATTAGTTCTTAATTAGGCCTTATGATGAACTAAGACCCACAGGCAATAAGCCGATTAACTGAACATGTTATTCAACATAGCATATTAGATACATATTCAGTCTAAACAAAGGGGCCTTCAATTAAATGCTAATACTAATATTTACATTGGTTGGATGTTGAACTGAACTGTTATTTATTTATTTATTTTTATTTTCTGAAAATGATTTTGTGGGCCGATTATTGTTCTTCCACCATCAGGACAGCTCAGGCATGAGACTGTGGAAGAGGAAGTGGTTTGTGTTGTCTGATTACTGCCTGTTTTACTATAAAGGTGAGTTATAATACTCAGCTTTAATTAGCTGCAATTATCTAAAACAGTTTCTAATTTTATTGCACAGTAATCATGTTTTATAAGTAAAACACATCATTTCTTTAATACATTATTATGAGAGTACCTATAATTTAATACGCAATAGCAGGTTTTTCATTTACTGTTTTTATCCCTATTGCTTGCACATGTCATATTGAATAATCATATGATTTTTACACAGTTCACATTAAGTATAGCACTGTTTTTATCTTTAATCGTTTTGATGGACAGAGTGGCGTCTCACTTACTTTCTGTCATCTGTGTTTAAGAGTATTGCCAACAAACAAACTAACCACTGTTCAATTGTAATCTAACCATTTTCTAATATTTTCACCTAACACCTGTACTTTGCTGACAGATAGTCGAGAGGAGACGGTTCTGGGTAGCATTCCTCTGCCCAGCTATGTCATTTCCCCCGTGGGACCCGAGGACCACATCAGCCGCAAGTATGCCTTCAAGGTAAGAGCATCATGATAATCTGCACTCTAATGCTACTCTGTTCCTGTGTGTAGGCTCACCTTCACTGGCTTCATTGGCTACGCCTTCAGGAAGTCTGTGTCATGTGGCATATTATCAGTGGTGTTGTGTGGGCGGCAGTCAGGGATGACTGATTAATGTGGCAGTTGTTTGGCTCCTCTCTCTGCCCTCTTCTGACCACACAGACCACTGAGTAAGCTTTCTCTGCTCGGGGTGCTCACAACCTCATAATGGACTCAACTAAAACTCTGCTTGTTTTAACTAATAGCGTCATGTTCCTGTACTCAGTTATCTAATATATTCTTGTCATGGAGATGAAGACCCTCAGAACGAGCCAAGTTAGAAGCGTCTCATATTTTATATGAATGCATCACATTGTAATATAGTATATTAATACTATATTATTATATTATATACTATATTATAATATTATTATATTACTATACTGTATTACTAACTATATTATTGAAATATATGCAATGTTTGATTAAATGCAACACTAATTAAAAATTATTATTATTTTTTTTTTAATCATAGTGCTGATTAGGGAGAGCTTTTTGAGCTTTGTGTTATCTACCAGCATGGTTAAAATGTGGTAAAACACTGTATCTTGCAGCCTCTCATGACTTATTCTTTAAATTTGGAATAGCCCATCTCTTTTTGACTGGTACTGTTCCCCTCGATGTCTGTTATCACAATGCTGTCATCACCAAAGCTGCTGTTTGCTCACAGGAATTCACACTGAGCTTCCACCCAACTCGTTCAACAAGTTTTCCACAGTCCTGTTCTCTTTCACAGAGCGGACATGGGAACATCATTATCTAAACCATTCTCTGAGTGAGGCCTATTTGATGGCAAGTTTCCATTGAGCCTCACAAACTTCCTCCCACTGTTGCAGTCTGGCGGACAGTGAAATAATGTTTAAGAACAGAATATCCCAGAAGGCTTAAAACCATTTCTATTATACCTAATGCTCTGGACAATCAAGTCTGGCTTAAACCCTTGTACCACAGAGGTGGAAAAACAGCATTTTTTCACTGATAGCTAACCTCTAACTTTGAAATTTGTGCCAAGCTTTGCGTTTTTGCTTAATCTACCTCGGTCTCCTCCTAAAGCACCTTCTGAAGAACAATACTCCAGGAATGTTTGATCCCATCACTGCAGCTCATTCATTTCCTCCGCTCAGTCATTCTTCCCTATGGGTACACAGTGCATCGTTCAAACTCCATTACCCTGCCCGTATTCCCCAGTGCTGGAATTTGTTTGAATATTGTGCCAGCAGGCAGATTAATTATACATCTACTCTATTTCTAATATCCTCCCTCTTACTTGCCCTACAGTCTGTAATGTACCAGAGCAAGGTGAGGGGCCCTGTTCTCTCATTGGTGCTCTGGGTGTTAATTAGCAGGTTTTTAGTTAGGAGATCTCCATCAGTGAAACTAGCCAGCAGCTATTTGAACATCTGGCTGCTTTATTTTCATGTGAATTAGACCCTAAGGTATGCTGTTTGTCTAATGTTTTCTGCTCTAACGGTCTTCTCTTAGTCAGCAATTAAATAGTTTGTCTGCATACTGTACATGTGAAGAAGAGTCTTGCATGTTTATTTTCTGTAATATTAAGATATCTTTAGAACTGTCTGTAGTAAGGTTAATTTCTGTATTTAATTATGATCTGTTGATCAAATCTCTATTGAATTCTAAATTGAAATGCCTGGATTTTGCACAAAAAATTCACAGAACAATGGTAAATGTGACTGCAAATTTGAGTATGAGCAGTTTTTGAGTGAATCAAAAACAAACCGAATTAATGATTCTTAAGAATATGTTCTTTTCAGAGAATCAACTGTCTGGTTGTTGACAGATCTAAGAATATGAAGTCATGAAAGGTCTTGTTTTTCATATAGGAAATGATATGTCATGTATTTGAATTCAGGCATAGACGAACTCATGATTCTTAGCTTTAATTGATTCATTTATTCAGCTACAGCAGTTAAATATTATGATGTTTATTACTCATCTTGTCCTGTTCTCTGGAGTGTTGTACGTTTGCTCTCCCAGTGGCTTATTTCTGCTTAGCTGTGCTGCCTCTAATGTTAATTGCATTTCCACTCACCCTGCTTATCTGACTGATATTTCACAACCAGGGACATTTCAACACATCTTCTAGTTTTGGTTAACATTTTTCACATAGGCCGTGATTCACCTCCCTCTGTTTTTGCACAACTCACACTTATTCTCTCATTCTTATTGGCCTATTGCTTCCTGTTGTGACCCGGTGCATTATGGGAGCTGAACCGGGTGCATCTGGTGGAAGGGCCGTCTACTGAGTCAGCCTCTTGCATGAATAGGTACTTTAATTTCCATTCATTACTATCAGCGGATCTCCACTCCATCACCATCCCTGTATGGCATTTTCCTATGCAGATGAAAAATGCACATAGCCCATGTGCATTGATGTGTTTCAGCATGCATTCTGCAACTCATTCTGCTTCCTCTGGAACAGGCAATGCCAGCTCGACAATCCTGTCTTCATATTCATCTTACCTGATGTGAATGTTGGATATGCTGATATGTCCTTATGAATGTGTGAATCTCATAGTAATGATAAGGACTGTTGCAGACTGGCATTGCTCAATTCCTCTTCTCACTTCATCACATGCATCAGTATTTCCAGTGTTGGTTATCATCCACACATTTCTACACTCTCATATGCTATTCAGTCACTTTTCAATTTTCAGTACTGTAACTATAATATGAAGTTGTTAACTTGTATGCATATTATATATATATTTTTTTGTATATACACTACTGTTCAAAAGTTTGGGGTCGGTAAGATTTATTTAATGTTGTTGTATCAAAAATGAAGTAAAAACAGTAATATTGTGAAATATTACATTTTTGATATTTTAAATATATTTTAAAATATTTAAAAATGTAATTTATTGTTGTGACAGCAAAGCTGAATTCTCAGTGGCCATTACTCCTGCAGAAATTATTCTAATATGCTGATTTGGTTTTCAAGAAGCATTTCTTATTATCACCAGTTTTGAAAACAATTGTGCTGCTATATATTTTATTATAGAAACTGTGACATTAAGTTCAAAAGAACAGCATTGTAACATTTAAAACATTTACTGTCACATTTGATCAATTTATTGCATACTTGCTGAATCAAAGTAGTAATTTCTTTAAATAAAATTAATGACCCCAAACTTTTAATGTATAACACATCTGAATTGTTATTCTGTACTATTATGTACGTGTTTAACCAAATGTGAATTTCTCACAGACATTAAGGCCAAAGGATAGGTTTTGGCATTAAACAAATGTATGTATGTATGTATGCAGTGTCTTCTTGAATGTTTAACTTTCTGAGGAATATTCAAGGTCATTTACAACTTCTAATCTGTGGACAACATTTGTGGCATGTTTTTGAATACCCCAAATATAAGTTTGAATTTATAAGGTTTGTCCCTTTTATTTGTCCAAAATAAATACAAATTTTTTATTTTTTATATTGGACATAACTTAACATTACAAACACAAAAACTTTTTTTATGGCTGTTCTTTTGCAACAGTTGTATATTTTATATGTCCTGGCACCCCTGCTTTCATAACAGTTAAACTACAGTTCTGTTTTTGGTCATTTTTCACAACCTTAGGAACATTGCTTTTTGTGCCACAGATGCTGTCCATAGATATTAAGTAGTAAATAACCCAGAATATTCCTTTAACCTCTGAAGGGGTTGAGTGATTGAGCAAATTCCTCTGATTAATTACTGCATATCCCTCTTAGAGAGATAATGCTGAATGAAAGCCCAGGACTAGATGGGTAATCTGAGGTCATTAACTTCTTAAAGACAGGAATGTGAGACGAATATATATCAGTAGACATGCTTTCCTTCAGCAGCTGATACTTGATATATTATAATAGGCACTGAAATCACTTTTCTCTTGCCCAGGTTTTGTCTTCCATTTCTCATTGTTTGTCATGATAAAATGTGATTAATGCTTACTACATTTGTGCCTTATTTTTCCTTTCTGCTATTTTGTTTATTCATATTTGTATGTGTAGATGTGTGCATATGAGTAATAGATTTTATTACTGTATATTAAATTAGAAGCATTTTTTAATAGAATAACAATAAAAAAACGTCCTTACAGATCACTGAAACAAGTATCCTGAGATATGACACGGTTCTGATAGCACTAGGGTCTGTAAACTGCAGAAGAATGCAGGACACTTGTTTAGACAGTCTGTCAATCATTTTGAGTGTTCAGATCTGCAGATATGTTTTTCAGATGACAACGCACACATCATATAGACTTCTCTGGTCAACGCATGTGTGCTATCAGGCAAAGAACTGCAACAAAGTCGATGAGAAAACAGTAGGATAATATGAAGACTTCAGGAGCCGATATCGGGGGGGGGGGCTGCTTTAGTCATTAGTGTGTGACATGCGGGATAATAGACTCCTGGAGAGGCAGAAGAGATGTGCCGTGAGCAGAGACGCAGCTGTCGAGTTGTGAATTAAGAGGCACCTTCGATGTAGCCCAAAGGCCGCTGCATTGACTTTCTACAGAATGAGTCAATGTTACCAGATGTAAGCTCTGTGTGTGTGTTGTTGTAGAGGTGGAAAGGACAGTCTGCCGCCTGTCTGAATGGGTCTGGGTGGGACTGGCAAAAGCGCTGAGCTGGACTCTGTTTGTAAGCGTTTAGATGTGTGAGTGGTGGCCGTACCCCCATCAGAGAGATTAGACCAACAGTTGTATTTTGGCAGTAGCAGATTTAGTGAACAGAAGGTGCATGGAGCTAGTTTAGCTGGGGGGGGGGGCATTAAACAGAGTAAGGAAATTAACAGCTTTGTTTATGTAAGTATTTGTGTGCATCTTTAATATTGTTTTTTTTCAACATTTGTGTGGTGTGTTTGGCATGTACAATTGACCCAAAAAGTATTTGAACACTTGTGTGTACACTTGATAACCAAATGAAGAGGGTGAGGGCATGTACAGAGACACTTGTGTGTAAACCTTCTGCTGAAGTAAATTATATGATACTCCTGGAATACGTGAAATAAGTAGAAAAATAATTTCAATCATCTCTCCTCTGCTCGGTTTATTGATTTATCATTTGTTTGCTGCGTACTGAAGGTTGGAGTTCAGATCTTCAATGTTGATTTCCTGACATTGATGGGTTTTTATTCTATGGAAGCCTGTTTCTACCTCAGGGTTAAAAAAAGTAAAAGGTTACTGATGTTTTAACTCAAAATAGCGACTTAATGTCCATATAAATTAATTTCTTCCAGTTACAACTTTATTGTTTAGAACTGTGATTTTATACCTCAAAATGTTATGTCCCATATTTGTTTCCCACATTTTTTATGAAAGAAATTAATACTTTTATTCAGCAAGGATGCATTCAATTGATAAAATTGACAGTAAAGACATTTGTAATTAAAAAAAAAAGATTTCAATTTTTAAATAACTGCTGTTCTTTAGAACTTTTTTATTAGTCAAAGAATCCAAAGAATCACATATATTAAAATATAAATGGTTATTTTAAAATGTTTTGAATTATTACATTATAATATTTCATTTACTGTTTTCCAAATAAAAGCAGCCTTGGTGAGTAGGAGACTTCTTTTATAAGCGTTATAAAAACTTACCGACCCAACATTTTTTGAACTGTATTGTATATCTCAAAAATTCGACTTTCTGTCTCACAAAGTTTATTTTAAACTTTCTCATGGTTATCAGCTTTTATACTCTAAGGCATAATGGACTTCCATGTTCTGAAGCGTAGTCTGACTGCAGTACAACAATTATTAATTCATTATTTTTCAACAAAAGTCTCAAATGCTTGCACAGTACAGACCGCTAATGCAGATCATTTGACTGAAGTGCATGGTAGTATTTGTAACAATGGTAATGTAGTTATCATTGGTTGGTAATCCTCTTAAAGACCATTTCCTCAGCTCTGATGACCAAAATAAACAGACATGTGAGCATGACTCCTGAGCTTGCTATACTGGGGCCTTCTGGTCTGGTGCCCCACGTGCATGTGCAACCTCTATGTATGGTCAGAGCTGATGGTCCCCTCTGTCTCTGTCTCTCCCTCAGGCCTGCCACACGGGAATGCGCTCCTACATTTACAATAAGAATTCTCTGATTGGCTCGCAGGCCGAGCACTGTGGCATGAGGACCTATTTCTTCAGCGCTGACACACAAGAGGACATGAATGGCTGGATCCGGGCCATGAACCAGGCTGCGCTGATGCAAAGCCATGGCATGAAGAGGTCAGTCACCTCCTGCTGCTGCAAATCTTTTCTCAGGGCTGGTGTCTAGAAACAAGATCAGTATCTCAGAGACCTGGGCACTATATTCCATTAAATACAACAGGATAACCCTTGCTTTATTTATTTTCTCTCCACTGCTTTCTCCTCACACTTGAATTTCCTCTATTTAACACTCAATACTGTCACTTAAACTTTATTTTCCTAATTCTTTGATATTATGTTATTTTGCCTTGGCCTGTATGTGATGTGATGTGAGGATTGATATTTCCAGCTATGAGAATGTCATGCACAATAGAAGTGAAGTGGTCTAAATGGTTTCTGCACTACTGTTAAGTTTAATTGATCTAGTGAAGGCTGTCCAATGATGTCAGCCATCTATCAGGGTTCATTCTTGTCAAAGCCATTCTTGACTTTGAGCTCCATTCATTTGTATTCAACTCGGGAGGCTGGCATGCACATGCAAAAAAAATAAATAAAATAAAATAAAAACGGTTGTCGTTCACTGTGTTCTCAAATTTAAGTTTGTAAGCTCTGAGCTGCGAATTCCCAAAGCACAAAGATATTCATCTTATAACGAACCTAAAGAGCATCTAAACATCACAAATTGACCTCTTGGCTGAATTCAAAGCATACACAAACCTAAAAATCACCTGGTTTGCAGTATTTTGGGGTCTAAAGTAATTTTCTAAGCTCAATGTGACTGCAGCTTTGCTCTTTGTGCTGACTTGGTTGTGTATTTGAAATTGCTACTTCTGAACTTTTTAAAAATTCATTATGGGGACAATTTTGCTGTCCTCGAAAGTAGTTTGGATCCTTTTTAAGATAGGCATTAAATTCACTGGAAATGCTAATGGCATTAATAAACTGTAGCTGTATGCTGTGGACTAGTTATTTAAAGGAATAGTTCACCTAAAAATGAAAATGTACTTACCCTCAGGCCATCCAAGATGTGGATGATTTTGTTTCTTCATCAGAATGGATTTGGAGACATTTCTCATTACATCACTTGCTCAGCAATGGATCCTCTGCAGTGAATAGGTGCCATCAGAATGAGAGTCCAAACAGCTGAAAAAACATCACAATAGTCCACAAGTAATCCACATGACTCCAGTCCAGTAGATCGGTTTTGGATTGTTTTCATTTCTAAATGGTTCTTTATTTTGTGGATTACTGTGATGTTTTTATCAGCTCTTTGGACTCTCATTCTGATGGCACCCATTCACTGCAGAGAAAACATTGGTGAGAAAGTAATCAAAGGCTAAATGTCTCAATCTGTTCTGATGAAGAAACAAATTCATCTACATTCTGGATAGCCTGGGGGTGAGTACATTTTCAGCAAATTTAAATTTATGGGTGAACTATTCCTTTAAGCTTATGTCTGATGTGATGTATACGTAGATCATGGGTACAGCAAAAACAGCATGGTGTACTCACTCATATGCTGCTGTTGTGCTGGTGCAGAGGCACAGTGCCATAGTTGTGTACACTTTGACACTGCAGCTCTGGGGAGGAGTATCACTGCGGCACGCTGCAGCCAGCTGACTGTGGGCCACCAGCCCAGAACACAGCGCTCGGACTGGGACGTGATGTTAGTGTGCTGCCCCCATGCTCGTCACTTCCATGAGTGCAGAGAGGGTTTGTCCCTAGGGCTTTCCTTATAGCTGGGCTTTTATAGTATACATAAAAAAGGAGAGTAGGTGGTTAATAACCCTGAAGGTGGTTTATAATGTAATTTATGGTTGGTAGGGCTAGTGTAGTGGCTGTATTTGTTGGATTTTGTAGGCAAATGCTTTTACACAAGTATGTGGATTGTTGGCAGTGTTGCTATACTTGCCAATCTGATGCCTGACCACCTGTCTGATCACGATGAGAGGTGAAATGTCAATGTTAGTGCTGCTGTACTGTTTTGAGGTTTCTCTGTAGGCCCTAGATTTGAGGGAGATGTTGAAAGTAATATAACAGTGCCATCTAGGGATAGATTGACAGTATTGCACATGATGACTTTAACTTTATCAATGAGATTTTTAATGTGCTTTGATGCATTTCAAGTTTCCTTTTGAGTTTCATTTGTAAATGTATCATGAATGTGTTTTTAAATAATAACTTTTAAAATCATTTCTAAATTAGTGAATGCTTTTGTCAGTTAGGTGTTTGGGCTGATCTAGTAAGAAAACGAGTAGCTGAAATGATGACCTTAAATTAACTGATGATATTAAATTAATTGATACATTATAGGTATGTATTAATTAATTATACTAAATGGATTTGTTAATCATGACTAAAATATACTAAAATGATCAGGTTATGCCACCTATCACCTGTGTAGGAAGGAATAATTAGTCCAACAACAACAAAACAATTCCCTTTTTGAATATTTTGAAACCACATCTGTCTTAATTTGGGCACAAAAAGAGTTTGGTTTCCACAAAAAAAAATTAAGCAGCACCTGTTTTCACCATTGATGATAATAAGAATATTTCTTGAGCAAATCATCATATTAGAATTATTTTTTTAAGGATCGTGTGACACTGAAGACTGGAGTAATTATATTATATTATATATAAATATATTTAATATATAAACATAACATATTTTTAAAAAAATATATACATGCATGTGTTTGTATTTATATATATGTAATAAATGTACACGGTACACACTCGTATATATTATGTAAACAAAAACTTTTATTTTGGATTAATCGTTTGACAGCACTAAATTTAAAATATAAAAAAAAATATATATATATATATTTTAAATTGTAACCATGATTTACATTGCTTTGGTGAGAATAAGATAACTATTTCAAAAACATAAAACATATTACAGACCTTAATGTTTTGAACAGTAGCATATATAATACAGTTTACACAGTAGTGCATGAGTCGCATAAGCTTCTTTTATGATGTTTTTATTGTGTAGTAGAAAGCAACTCAGATGTTATGCTAAATTCTTCTTTTGATGTTCCACAGAAGAAAGAATGCCATATATGTTTGAAATATCATGCTGCTATTAGGGTAGATTTTGATAGCTAGACAGTCGGTTCAAGGTCAGTTATCTATACATTGAGTTGTAGATACAGTTACTGTATAATTCATGCAAAAGTCTAAACTCTCTTCTGTCCTGTTTGCTTCCTAATATTGATACATCATCGGAAATAAGTCTTAAGTTAAATCTCATGTTAAAGGTCAAATATTAACTGTTTGTTTTCTACTATTAAATAACTATCTTTCCTTCCACAGAGAAGCCGAAAGAAGCTTCAAATCTGAGCAGCAAGCAGTCCCTCAGACCAACCATTTCTGCAGCAGCATCAAAAGCTCCTCCCAGGCCGAGGCCCTCCAGCAGACAGCACATGTGGAGGTGGTAGAGCTGAGGCCGGAGCGAGATGGGGAGGACTGCTACGTTTACAGCAAGGAATTGATGGAGGATCCTGTTAAAATCTCCTCTGGAGAGTTGGAGATGGAAGGGATTTCCCAATCAGGTGCCCATTCTCGCCCACCTTCCACAGTGCCCACTCACAGGAACGGGCTGCCACCCTCGGGCATACCTCCTGATCAGAACGGGAACGTGGTGTATAAGAGGGGTCTCGTCCCCCGTACAGACACAGAGAAAAAGGTGCAAAGGAAAACTGCACTGGCTCAGGTCGAGCACTGGGTGAAGGTGCAGAAAGGAGACCCCAAAAGGTCAGTTTTGTGTGTTTGTGCTGTGATAAGGGAAAAAATGTTAGAAAAGCATACAGGGTTATATGTAATACTCTAATTAAATGATGTAACATTGGGAACTCGAGCCATTGTAGGATTCAGTTCACATATAGATTCTTCTTATGAAGGAGCTCCCACTAGTGGTTATGATGTAAACACACTAAATATTAAAGGGAATGTTTTGTGTTGTAGCAACTCTGGTTATTCTGGTTATTACAGCTTTTTTTTCTTTCTTTCTTTTCTTTTTTTTGCTGTTGTAAAAAACCATCCAGTAATCACATTTACACTATTGCACTTAAAATCTGCATTTTAGCAGAAAAACACCCAGCAATTATTAGTTTATTAGTATAATAATAATAATTTGTGTTTTTATTATTAATATTATTATTATTATTTGTATAATAGTTAATATATTAGCTATTATTGTTGTTGGTGATTAATAATAATAATAATAATAATAATAATAAATTTGCAGCTCAGGCCAGAGTAAAAACATTTTAAAAGAATAAAAAAATTAATGTTTTTATATAAATACTCTGTATAGCATATGAATGCTAACTGACAGTGGGAAGGACAGAATATTAACAGTAAAACAACTTTTTTTTGCGAAATTACAGCCATCCCACTGTTGAGTACACCCTACCTAGACGGACACCACCTCTACAGCCTAAGTCCGTCATGATGGAGACGTACCAGTCGTTGCCAAAGAGCACTCGCCACCACTCCGGAGGCAGTTCCCCACCAGTGCCCCGCAACCTGCCTAGTGACTACAAGTATGCCCACGACCGTCTTAGTCACTTTCGTATGTCCACTGATGAGCGGATGGCCACTAAAGAGGGCATGGTGTGGCAGCTGTACGAATGGCAGCAGCGCCAACAGTTCCGCCATGGAAGCCCCACTGCACCAATCTACACCGGCCCTGACTACATGGACACGTCTGCCTTCAGAGTTACTCTGGAAATGCCACGATCCATATCTGTGCCACCATCACCATGTGACATACCCCCACCTGGCCACCCCTCCAAGTTCTTTTCCCCACGCAGGCCCCACACGCCCGCAGACAGGGTGACGGTGCGCCCGCTGGATGACTTCGCCACCGTGGACACTCCCAGTTTGGGTTCTCCCAGAGGAATATGTTCCCAGATCTCAAAGGTAGGGAACGTGGAGCAGTTCACATAATCTCACAATTTCAAATTAGTTGTGGTGAGTTCTTCTCTTTGTTCAGACCACAGAAGTGTTGACTACCAAAGGCGTTAAGGGTTATGGGAAAACCGAGTTTCCATTTACTCAAGCTTTGATTTGGACTTTGTGACAGGATTCACACAGTCTTCACTCAGGGCTTGATTCCCAGGTGCCGTGGGTGTGTTAAAAGAGAGCATTTTTGTTTGTGTGTCGCTGAAGATGCTTGTGTGACGAATAGTAGCATCTGCCAGCTACACCCCCCACATGAGAGGGCCGCTCCCAGCGCCACATTCACATGCGGCAGCAGTCATAGAAGTCTCTGTGCCTCTTAAAAGTTAACATACTGTCACTACCATTTCTGCTCTGCACACGTCAGGACTCGTGTGAACTCACTAATTACATGCCTGCAACAGAAAGATTCACAGAAGCTGTCAAAAACCAGATAGAAAGAAAAAAACAGACCTTCAGTCAATGTGCAGTGATACCACAAAAAATATACAGCAGAATCTAAAAATCTGCTAGTGAAAATGCTGTAATTATTGTTTCATTACATATTATATTATCAGCATAACAATTAATTGAGAATATAGTATTTTTAGGATGATTAGTGTGATGATTAGCATGAGTTGAGAATGCTTAAAGAGAAATTTTGAATTTTTTCCCCCAGAGAATCTTGAAAAAAATTAAGTATGGCAGTTTCCACAAAAATATTAAGCAGAACTGTTTTCAGCATTGATAATAGTGAGAAATATTTCTGAAGGATCATGTGACACTGAAAACTGGAGTAATGGTTGCTGAAAATTCAGCTTTATCATCACAAAAAATGTATAAAAATTAAAATATATTAAATTATAAAAGTTATTTTAAATTGTAATGTTACTTCATACTATTACTGTTTTTACTGTATTTTTGAATAAATAAAAGTGGAACATAAGAGACTTCGTTCATAAACATTAAAAATCTTACCCCAAACTTTTGAACAGTAGTGGGAGAATGGGAAAGTATCTATTTTAGTTGCTGTAGCTTGTGACCGTTACAAGTTTTTCTGCATTTCAATCACTTTTTGCCTTCAAGTTTAAACTGTTCTAGAGTTTTTTTTATTTTTTATTTTTTATATTCAAACATAAAAAAAAAAAAAAAAAAGATATTGCAGTCTCTCAATTAATTGAAAGTCGTAAGTACTGCATGAAAAGAATAAGACATGTTCATTTCTACATCAGAACTATATATACAGTATCTCACAGAAGTGAGTACACCCCTCACATTTTTGTAAATATTTTATATCTTTTCATGTGACAACACTGAAGAAATGACACTTTGCTACAATGTAAAGTAGTGAGTGTGCAGCTTGTATAACAGTGTAAATTTGCTGTCCCCTCAAAATAACTCAACACACAGCCATTAATGTCTAAACCGCTGGCCACAAAAGTGAGTACACACCTAAGTGAAAATGTCCAAATTGGGCCCAATTAGCCATTTTCTCTCCCCGGTGTCATGTGACTCATTAGTGTTACAAGGTCTCAGGTGTGAATGGGGAGCAGGTGTGTTAAATTTGGTGTTATCGCTCTCACTCTCTCATACTGGTCACTGGAAGTTCTACATGGCACCTCATGGCAAAGAACTCTCTGAGGATCTGAAAAAGAGTTATTGCTCTACATAAAGATGGTGTAGGCTATAAGAAGATTGCCAAGACCCTGCAACTGAGCTGCAGCACGGTGGCCAAGACCATAGAACAGGCTCCACTCAGAACAGGCCTCGCCATGGTCAACCAAAGAAGTTGAGTGCACGTGCTCAGCGTCATATCCAGAGGTTGTGTTTGTGAAATAGACATATGAGTGCAGCCAGCATTGCTGCAGAGGTTGAAGAGGTGGGGGGTCAGCCTGTCAGTGCTCAGACCATATGCCGCACACTGCATCAAATTGGTCTGCATGGCTATCATTTCCCCTGCATTATCAAAGATGGTTCTTTCTTTGTACCAAATTCAAATGGCACTTGAACCCAAAAAAGGTCTAGCAAAAACTCACAAATTTAATTATCATCTGTCTTCAGCCCAAATGAATGATTTAGGCATGACATGTCATGTTTTGAGAGGAACGAGTTCATGAATAAGAATCTGTTTGCATAATAGAGGGGAAAATCTCATTAAAATCTTGACATATTTGCCAGGAGATGCAATTTTCTCTTCTCAGATGGCCTTTTCAAAAACAAAAGAGACAAAACAGAAGGCAGGGCTAAATATTTTAATTTATGACTGCTGTCAGTTTATTTTTGTTGTTGTTGCTCTACACCAGGGGTGGTGAACGTCAGTCCTGGAGAGCCGCAGCTCTGCAGAGTTTTGCTTCAACCCTAATTAAACACACCTGAACAAGCTAATCAAAGTCTGAAGGGTTACTAGGAAGCTACAGGCAGGTGAGTTTTTATTAGGGTTGGAGCTGAACTCTGCAGGGCCGGAGTTCGCCACCCCTGCTATATACAACTATGTTATATATATCATACTATACTATATATATATATATATATATATATATACAGTGCCTTGCAAAAGTATTTTTCATTTATTGATATATATATATATGTATATTTATATTTATTTATTCATTTATTTCACGTTTTGTAATGTTGCTGCCTTATGTTAAACTGCTTTATATTACTTTTTTTCCACATCAATCTACACTCCATACACCATAATTGCAAAGCAAAACAGAACTGTCACAACTTTGCAAATTTATAAAAAACTGAAATAAGTACATTGCAGTACTCAGTACTTCACTGAAGCACCTTTACAGCCTCAAGTATTTTTGGGTATGATGCGACAAGCTTTGCACATGAGCATTTGGCAATTATCTGCCATTCTTCACCTCACCTGTTCACTTCTTAAGCTCTGTCAGGTTGGATGGGGGCAGACACACATTTTCAAGTTTCTCTAGAAATATTTGATTGGGATCAAGCCCAGGCTCTGGCTGGGCCACTCAAGGACATTCACAGAGTTGTTTATAAGCCACTCTTGCTGTGTGCTTAGGGTCATTGTCCTGTTGGAAGGTGAACCTTCTACCCAGTCTGAGGTTCTGAATGCTCTGGACCGGGTTTTCATTAAGGCTATCTCAATATTTTAGTGCACTGAGCTTTTATTCTACTCTGACAAGTCCCTCAGTCCCTGCCGCTGAAAAACAGCCCCACAGCATGAGGCTGCTACAGCATACTTTACTTTTGGGATGGTACTCTGCAGGTGATGAGCGGAGCTGGTTTCCTTCAAACATGATGCTTAGAATTGAGGTTCATCAGACCAGAGAATCTTGTTTCTCAAGATGCTTTTTTGTAAATTCCAAGTGCGTTTCCATGTGTCTTCATTGAGGAAAGGATTGAGTTTGGCCACACCACCATAAAGCACAGATTGGTGGAGTGTTGCAGCGATGTTTGTCCTTCTGTAGGTTTCTCCTATCCACATATGATCATGGAGCTCAACTAGAGTGACAGCTTCTTGGTTACCACTCTAACCAAAGCCCTTCTCCATCAATTGCTCAGTTTGGCCAGGAGGCCCGCTCTAGGAAGATTCCTGGTTGTTCTAGATGTCTTCCATTATGGATAATGGAGGTTTGATGCAGATGTGTGGTTTGATGCAATCCTGTCTCTGAGCTCTACAGGCAGTTTTTTTTTACCTCAGGGCTTGGTCTTTGCTCTTATATGCATTTTCAGCTGTTAGACCTTTTATTAAGACGTGTGCCTTTCCAAATCATACCCATTAAATTGAATTTGCCACAGGTTAGCTTCACTCAAAGTGTGGTAACATGTACAAACAAAATGAATGCTCCTGAGTTAAATTTTAACTGTTCCAGATAAGTTTTTTATCTTTAATAAATTTGCAAAGATGTTAAAACCTGTTATTTGCTTTGTCATTATGGTGTATGGAGTGTAGATTGATGTTGAAAAAAAGTAGTTTAAAGCAGTTTAACATAAGGCTGCAACATAACAAAACATGAAAAAAATTTTTTTGAAATGAATTTATTCAATGAATGAATACTTTCGCAAGGCACTGTATATATCACACAGCGGCACTCGCTGTCACTGCTAGACTTATGATATCGACTACCCAGCTGCAGATGTCTATCTGTGCATTTCAAAGACTACAGTAGAGTGTGTTTTCATAGCTTCTGTCGTGGAACATATCTCTATGGATGATAACTAGACTGGTTTTCGCTGGTAAGATTCGCCAAAGGCTAAGCAAAGCGCCCAGTGAACCTCCTCAGCAGTGGTCTCTTTCTTCTGATCTTGTATTTAAATAAAAAACCTATTATACAGCAAAAATGCAGTGCCGTGGGATTCGCACTGGAAACAGAGTCTACAGTGCTACTCTGCTGGTAGCAAACAAATGTTATTTTAAGAAAGATTTTAATTTATGTGTAGTTAATTAAATCTCTTGTTGTTTGTGTCCTTTTGAGGTGCTAGATGGGCCTAGATGAAGAATTTTGTATGTTAAGCAAAACTGTCAAACCCTCAAAGCCCTGTAGCACATTTGAAATCAAGCACACAGTTGCTTAGCTTAAGTAAACAGATGAATGAGTAAAATGTGCTCTGCTGAGCCCTAGTTTTGTGCTAAACTTTGAAACTGACTTTTACTTGACTTTAAAAATGTACAGTATCCATTAACTAAAAGAGAGAATTTGAGATTAATAGTGATAGAACTGTGATTTTCTTAATTTTCATTGTAAACGTCACCATTTTTGGTATTTTTGTGTCTTTACAGACCTCACAAATAGAGAGGAGATCCATGCCAACAATGGGATACATCACACACACAGTCAGTGCACCAAGTCTGCATGGAAAAACGGTAAGACTTCCATAGAGAGCACATTTTTTCAGATAAACTATCTAGGAAACGTAGGGGATCTGCTTGGTAGATGACATTTTGGCCACCAGGAGCGTTTTGCTTTCTAGTTTTGAGACAGTGACAACTAGAGTGACAGCTTCTTGGTTACCACTCTAACCAAAGCCCTTCTCCATCAATTGCTCAGTTTGGCCAGGAGGCCCGCTCTAGGAAGATTCCTGGTTGTTCTAGATGTCTTCCATTATGGATAATGGAGGTTTGATGCAGATGTGTGGTTTGATGCAATCCTGTCTCTGAGCTCTACAGGCAGTTTTTTTTTACCTCAGGGCTTGGTCTTTGCTCTTATATGCATTTTCAGCTGTTAGACCTTTTATTAAGACGTGTGCCTTTCCAAATCATACCCATTAAATTGAATTTGCCACAGGTTAGCTTCACTCAAAGTGTGGTAACATGTACAAACAAAATGAATGCTCCTGAGTTAAATTTTAACTGTTCCAGATAAGTTTTTTATCTTTAATAAATTTGCAAAGATGTTAAAACCTGTTATTTGCTTTGTCATTATGGTGTATGGAGTGTAGATTGATGTTGAAAAAAAGTAGTTTAAAGCAGTTTAACATAAGGCTGCAACATAACAAAACATGAAAAAAATTTTTTTGAAATGAATTTATTCAATGAATGAATACTTTCGCAAGGCACTGTATATATCACACAGCGGCACTCGCTGTCACTGCTAGACTTATGATATCGACTACCCAGCTGCAGATGTCTATCTGTGCATTTCAAAGACTACAGTAGAGTGTGTTTTCATAGCTTCTGTCGTGGAACATATCTCTATGGATGATAACTAGACTGGTTTTCGCTGGTAAGATTCGCCAAAGGCTAAGCAAAGCGCCCAGTGAACCTCCTCAGCAGTGGTCTCTTTCTTCTGATCTTGTATTTAAATAAAAAACCTATTATACAGCAAAAATGCAGTGCCGTGGGATTCGCACTGGAAACAGAGTCTACAGTGCTACTCTGCTGGTAGCAAACAAATGTTATTTTAAGAAAGATTTTAATTTATGTGTAGTTAATTAAATCTCTTGTTGTTTGTGTCCTTTTGAGGTGCTAGATGGGCCTAGATGAAGAATTTTGTATGTTAAGCAAAACTGTCAAACCCTCAAAGCCCTGTAGCACATTTGAAATCAAGCACACAGTTGCTTAGCTTAAGTAAACAGATGAATGAGTAAAATGTGCTCTGCTGAGCCCTAGTTTTGTGCTAAACTTTGAAACTGACTTTTACTTGACTTTAAAAATGTACAGTATCCATTAACTAAAAGAGAGAATTTGAGATTAATAGTGATAGAACTGTGATTTTCTTAATTTTCATTGTAAACGTCACCATTTTTGGTATTTTTGTGTCTTTACAGACCTCACAAATAGAGAGGAGATCCATGCCAACAATGGGATACATCACACACACAGTCAGTGCACCAAGTCTGCATGGAAAAACGGTAAGACTTCCATAGAGAGCACATTTTTTCAGACAAACTATCTAGGAAACGTAGGGGATCTGCTTGGTAGATGACATTTTGGCCACCAGGAGCGTTTTGCTTTCTAGTTTTGAGACAGTGAGTTGAGCTATGTCATTAAAGACATGCAGTTACAGTTCGCCTTAGTCCACTTCTATTGGCCAAATTTCACAACATCTTGGCGCCGCCCTGGTGGTCACCTCCTGAAGTGCTTTCTCTTCCGTCTCCCCGCTGTCCTGCAGCCGGAGGAGTTGACCCTGCTGCTCATCCAGCTCAGGAGACACCGGGCCAAGATGGCCAGTGTGCGCAGCGACACATTCACACACCTGCAGAACCAGCACAACGGCCTCTCAGGCCCCAGTTTGCAGGTTAGAGGGTCACATTTCCCCCTCAACCCACCCCGAGCACCCCTCTCATCTGAGCATACCATGCCCTCCTTTCCTAACTCCCATACCGTGCTCCTCTTACTATCGTACGCTGATGGTTGTAGTTATGAGTTATGATTGCGTTGGTTTGGTGTTAGCTCTCCGTTAGCATGGAGTCTGCAGTAGAATGTTACCGCTTGGGCTGCGCAATTTGATGTAACAGTCTGTTTTGTGGTTTTGAAGATCTTTTCTTCCACATTTTGCATTTTTTGTAGATTCTTCCTCTCTTGTATTTTGGATCGTCAGATTGCTCCTCAGATAACAGCATGTTGCTTGTTGACTTGCCTGCATTCACATGATTGAATGTTTCCATGAACTGAAAACGTATTAAAAACATCACTGGTTTACTTGTTTATGTGCAGTTTTGGATATGAAATGTCAGAAACGTACACAAGAATTAGTGTAACCATTTGATAGAACAGACATAAGCTGTTACCCATTCTACTCTCTAGATCTGTCATTACATAAGTTACAGCAGAGGTCCCCAACAACCGGGCCACGACCCAGTACCGGGCTGTGGAAGAGTTGCTATCGGGTCGCAAGAACGTTCTGGGAAAAAATGTGTACAGATATGACACTTTGTTATTTATTGTGTGTTAATGATTGTTATAAGTATTCTGTATTTTCATTGTATGCGATTGCTATGGCGATTGCTATGGAGTATCAATTTGACGATTTCATGTAAATTAAATGTTCAATAAGTAAATGAAAGATTGCTCTGGTCTGTCATATATTTATTAGGGGTTACAATGATTGTAGTTGATCCGTGATACATACGGACAAGAAGAAGAAACGAAAGAAAACTCAATTCGTTACTCACGAGTCACGCGCTGTTCTCGCACACACCCAAAGCACGCACAAGCATAGAGACATGTTTCAGACAGCGTGGAAATACCAAGTTGATTAAATAAATAATATATATATATATATATATATACACAGGGCTCGCAAAATTTCAAAATCGTTGGTAGCCCTTCGGGCAGACATTCTTCAGATTTTGGTAGCCCAAAATGAATTTAAGTAGCCCGAATAAAAAAACAAGAAGACATCGACTGAACTTCACTGCGGACAAATCAGCATGATTAAAAACTTCAATGATTGCTTTTTTTCTTCAAATAACAAGTCAAGAGAGTAGGAATGCAACGGATCACAAAACCCACAGCTCAGATCATATTGCATTATCATATCAGATTTTGAGTAACAGATCGGATCATTTTGCAGATGAGTAAAAAAATATGGTTCTTTATTATTTAAATAACAGAATACTTCTTTGATACCACAGCAAAAACTAGTAGCATATAGGGATGTAACGATTCACTCAACTCAGGATGCGATGCAATACGATTCACGATACTGATTTCACAATACAATTTTCTCACTATTTTTCTTTTTAACAGAATGAGATTTAAGTCAAATTATAAATTCTCTAACAAAATGCTGCACATTTCTTTGTAAAATTGAAATATGTCAAATGATAAAACTAACTTGAAATTTTTAAACAAATCCCAAATCAAACAATAAAATAATACAAATAAAATAAATCTCTTCATATAAACAAACTAAGGCTTTGCCTGTGCTTTTTCTATTTAAAATCAGAGGCAACCACTGCATTTTAATCATGATCCAAACAAAGATGCTAAATACATGTTTAGATTGCAATTAGATTGTATAATTTCGAAATTTGAAGCAAAAACTGAATGGTTTGATTTTAGCTTTGTGAATGAGACGCAAATGTCACTCTCTGACAGCAGGTGGCGCTTATGGAACAGCAGGTATTTATAGGCTGCTGCCCCTTTAAGACCGAATGCACGGATCCAATATAATGATGCACTTGAGATTTCTTTCACCACTGTTTACATTCACTTAAGACATAACCGACTGTGTTTACGAGAATACTTGCCGAGACAGTTATTTTGAGATAATTTTGTGTGTGTGTTCATTCAGATGCAAGGATATGCGAAAGAGGAATCAATTCTGTGTATGCGCATTGTCTGAAACCCGGCTCTATGTGCGCGCTTTGAATGAGTGCGCGCAGCTCCGAATGCACGTGAATGGTTTAAACGATAATTATTGACATTTTTTATAAACTTTTTAAAAACAAAAAGCAATAGAATTTTTTTTTTAAAAATGTAACCACTGTATTTATAAGTAACACAATTTATTGAAACAAACAACAATTATTTTTTGTTTGAACAATCAAACACAATAAAAATGAAAAAAATATCTAATTTCTAATGTTTTATATGCAGATTAAATAGGACTTTATTGTATAGGTCTAATTGTCTCCCGAGGCCACAGGAGGGCGCAATGAGCAAAATAATGCAGCGCATTTAGCAAGTAACTCTATAAAAATGTGCATTACGTCTAAATTAACTCATAAAAATCAAATATAATTTAGTAAATTGCATAAACAATTATGAACAAAACCGCATCATGTATTTATGCATTGCTTAATCCAAAGAGCCGAAGCGCCATTCACACAGACTGCATTTAAAAACATATGAGATGCAGTGAAAAGGAATAAACCTCCTCAAATTCATGACGTGGTTTCTAAAAGTTTAAACTTTTTAACTTTGCATGGCTTTCTATACATCTCTTCTGTGAGACGCGAGTGCAGCAGTCATATTTGTCCATCTAAAAAAATGCGCTGAATATGCATTCTTTGTGAATGGCTTGGTTTCGGTTTTAACCCATTCAAGATCGTCTCCGCATTGAGCTTCTATATTTCTCTAATATTTTGAATGAATAGCACAGCAGCGGCGCGTTTCGTGGGCTAGACTAGCAAAACATTAAAATGCAACAACGTTACTTACATCATCACCACATCTGGCGAGCCACTGATGACGCTCCCTGATGCACACCTAACATTCAAATGCAATTGTTTATTTTAAAGGGGTCAAAGGATGCTACATGCACTTTTACAAGTTGTTTGAACTGAAATGTGTGTTGGCAGTTTGTGTACACAACCACCCTATAATGATAAAAATCCACCCAGTGTTTTTTTTTTAAATCTCGTTAAATGTTTTCCCCTTTTTCAAATCCAACCGATCTCATATGCCTGTCTGTGTGACCTCACACAGACAGGCCCCTCCCACGATAGTTTGATTGACAGTAGCGTTTCAGCACAGACTGGACTGGCGTCTTACCTTAGACCCGCCCTGAGTGAGCTGTCATCAGTCCGCCATTGTTTCACCGCTGGAGCAGATGTAGACAAGAATGACTCCTAAGCGATTAAGGTGTTCTGTTGGATGTAATAATGAACATAGCAGTCCTCATTTACTCCCGACATCTGAGCCGCTGAACTCGCAGTGGATTATGTCTTTCTGAAGGGAATGCGCCCCCGATCTACATAAATGCGTCAATGTTCGCGCGAATCATTCATGATCCAGCCTCATCTACAGAAGTGAGTATAATGTTTTGTAATGAATCTTTGCAAATCGCCTTCCCTAATAATGTGCTAATTAGCAAGGTTCATGATGAATGTGGCTAAAGTAAACAGTGTCTCTGAGAGCAGCTAGGAAGACCAGTCCATGGTGTAAAAAATGTTGGAGACCCCTAAATTACAGAGTTGCACATTAAAAATTAACAAGTATTCTACAACATTTACAGCATGAATACTTCATTGTACTTTTTTCCAGTAAACTTTGACCCCTACCACAGTGCATAAGATTTAGAGTTTAGACTGAAGTTTTGGGACATTCAGTGGTCTTCCAGATACTAAATTGTCAGTAACTTTTCTTGTTGTAAAAATTTTTTTTTAATAAAAATTAAAAAAATAATGATGTCAAACGATTAATCGCATCCAAAATAAAAAGTTTTGTTTACATGATATATTTTTGTGTGCTGTGTATATTTATTATATATATATATATATATATATATATATATATATATATATATATATATATATATAAATAAATAACTGTTTTCTATATATTTAAAAAAATATATATATTAAATATATTTATTTATAATATAAATTATATGAATATAAATATGGACATGTAAATACATGTAAATATTTTCTAAATATATGCTGTATGTGGGTGTATTTATATATACATAAGAAATATACACAGAACACACAAATATATTATGCAAATAAAAACTTTTATTTTGTATGCGATTAATTGCGATTAATCGTTTGACAGCACTAAAAAACAAACAAAAAAATAAACAAACAAACAAAAAATTTATTATGTACACTACTGCTCAGAAGTTTAGGATCAGTACATTTTCTTTAAAAGTTTATGCTCACCAAAGCTTTTGTTTGGTCAAAAATACAGTTCAAACAGTAATATTGTGAAATGCAATTACAATTTAAAATAAATGTTTTCTATTATATTTTAAAATGTAATTTCCTGTGATGGTAAAGCTGAATTTTCAGCAGCTATTATTCCAGTCTTCAATGTGACATAATCCATCAGAAATCATTCTAATATACTGATTGGCTTCTCAAGAAACATTTCTTATTATTATCAGCATTATTATCAACAGTTGCTTAATGTTTTTTGGAAACTGTGATACATTTTCAGCATTCTGTGGTGAATAGAAAGTAAAAAAAAAAACAGCACAGAAATGTCAAACTTTTGTAACATTATAAATATCTTTAATTTTAGTTTGGATCAATTTAATACATCTTTGCTAAATGATGTTTCATTGTATGCTAAAAAAAAGTATTAATTTCTAAAGTAAAAAAAATACCATAAACTTTTGAACAGTTGTGTATTTTTTTAATAACCGTGATTTCTAAATAACCATCATGATAACATGCACTTGCACAATATGTAATAATGTACCAGCATTTGGATTTACAGTGTGCATGAAAATCAGTCTTACCCTGCGTCTCAATGTTCATACTATCCATCCTATATAGTATGTGAGATTACAGGTGCATCTCAATAAATTAGAATGTCATGGAAAAGTTTTATTTATTTCAGTAATTCAACTCAAATTGTGAAACTCGTGTATTAAATAAATTCAGTGCACAAAGACTGAATTATAAGTTTAAGTCTTTGGTTCTTTTAATTGTGATGATTTTGGCTCACATTTAACAAAAACCCACCAATTCACTATCTTAACAAATTAGGATACTTCATAAGACCAATAAAAAATTTTTTTTAGTGAATTGATGGCCTTCTGGAAAGTATGTTAATTTACTGTACATGTACTCAGTACTTGGTAGGGGCTCCTTTTGCTTTAATTACTGCCTCAATTCGGCGTGTCATGGAGGTGATCAGTTTGTGGCACTGCTGAGGTGGTATGGAAGCCCAGGTTTCTTTGACAGTGGCCTTCAACTCATCTGCATTTTTTGGTCTCTTGTTTCTCAGTTTCCTCTTGACAATACCCCATAGATTCTCTATGGGGTTCAGGTCTGGTGAGTTTGCTGGCCAGTCAAGCACACCAACACCATGGTCATTTAACCAACTTTTGGTGCTTTTGGCAGTGTGGGCAGGTGCCAAATCCTGCTGGAAAATGAAATCAGCATCTTCAAAAAGCTGGTCAGCAGAAGGAAACATGAAGTGCTCCAAAATAATTACTGAAATAAATTAACTTTTCCACGACATTCTAATTTATTGAGATGCACCTGTAGAATAAGTGTGTCCCAAAGCATAGTATGTTGAGAAGAGTATGCCAAAAGTCCCTGGATGGTCTACTATTTCAGGTCGATTTTTGAAGTATGGATCCATGCACACTCTAATGGCTAAAATTGCCCACAATCCATTGCGCTTTGGTGAAAAATTCGGTCCAGAACTACAAACACGAATAAAACTAGTTAGAAAAACTGCAAACGTGGCGGATGCGCGCGATCGACGGTTAGGTAGAGAGGTTTACAAAAAGGGGTTTGAGTTACTAATAATCAACATTTAACCTGGTAAAAAATATTTATTTATCGTTATCCGTGTTATATTTCATCTGCAACAGTAATGTGAACTTTTATAAACATCCATTTGGTCGTTAACTTTTAAATGCATCATTGTGCAGAAAATATGAGCAGAGTTCTCGGAATGAAAGACCCACGACTGGTAGATCAACGAGCTACTTCTTTTCTCCACAGTACGGTAGGAAGTTAAATGAAATGAAATGTGGAGGATGTTAACTGTGACAAGATGATTGACAGGCCAGTTTACAGTGACAGGGTGCGTGTAACAGGTGTGACAGAGCGGTCCTTTAAAGATGCAGTTGTGTGACGTGATAGTATGTCCCAAAGCTTTCCTACTCTCTACTACACACTCAAAAGTGTGTACTTTTTCTTCACCAAAAGAGGACACACTTTAAGGGTGTAGTATAAGTAGGCACATTGAGACGCAACATTAGTCTTGCACGTCGTACTCTCAACCATGTGTCATGTGACCTGTTTCTTCATTTCCCATTTAAAGGCAGATGACACTTACATCCAGCTGAAGAAGGACCTGGAGTATCTAGACCTGAAGGTGGGCTCTAGTGGATCTGCCTTCACCTACCTCCTCCTCTCATCTTCTCCCTCTCTCCTCAAGGCATACATTCTTCCTGATTTCCCCCTCTCCTTATTCTCTATAACAACTGCTCTGCTCTCTAACCCTGAAGGATGTGTAGAGTGAATTTTGAAATCAATGATTAAATAAATTTACATCAGTCAATATTCACAAGAGAGCATTATGTGATTTTAAACTTTTACTGCTAAAAATCAGATTTTATGCTGCAGTTTAGCAATAAAATTATTTACACACATGGATGTAATGACTAGTGATGGCTCCCAGCAGGAGGAGATTTTGATTTCGCTAGAATCTGATTTTGAGTTGTTTTCCTTATGTCCAGTGGCATCAGTGGCCTTAAGAGCTCTTATATAGAGTTTCTCCACTTTTGTCACAAACATTTTATGTTCACCGACTTTTCCGATCCTGTTTGATATGGAGCGCATTACCTGCTTTAATTATTAATTCAGAATTCAAATGTATACATTGCCTAAATGTATACCCACGGTTCACAAAAACCCTTTTATCTTCATTTCAAACAGATGAAAAGTATTGAACCTCTCATCTATTCGGTACACAGTGCATTCTGTCTGAATGTAAGGATGGTGCGCGTAACCAAATGTGACCATTTCATGCAGTGATGTAAACCCCCTGGACCGTTATCGTTGCTCTGCAGAGTCATTCTTTTGCGCATGTGCTACTTTGACAGCTTAAATTTTTTTTTCAAGGACGCCCAAGGTTGTTCTTTAGGTAAAATATCAATACTGCTCTGATGAGGGATTGTTATAGCGATTGCATTGTAATTGTGAACATTATGTAAAGGCTGTGCTAATTATTTCCATGAAGACATTAGACATCAAGGAATTACCCTAGAGTCTGAGGTTTTCTGTTAATGAGTGAATGTTTACAGACAGCTGCTCTTACTTATAAAGTATCCTTTAGCCAACCCCTGTTTATCACTAAATTATAGTCTTTCAGTGGGTTGCAGCTTGTCGTAGGCTTCACTCCCACACAGTTCATGTCAAGTTCACCACTGATGAAAAGTATTGATACCTTGCCAAATCAAGAGCAGCGCTTTGGGTGGATCATTGCGGCTCTCCCCAAATACCCCAGTTGCTGTTTGTACGTAAACACATCGCAGAGCTTCCAAAAGGAGTGTTGGTTTGTTTTGTTGTTGTTGTTGTTTTGTTCATCTCGAGATATTATGAGTTTGCTAAAGCACAGTTTGTTTATATGATTTCAACATCCCTTTGTCAATAGGCTGTGCAGTCTTGATGGTTGCTTGATCGATGCAACCGTACAGCTTCTTAGTCTTGATGTTGATGTTAATGTCTTTGAAAGTGTATGAGCTTTTGCATTTCGTCAACAGGTAACTGGACGTGACTCACTTAAAGATCGACCACCTCGGCCTGTTAAAATAGCTGAAAGTGACATAGATGTAAGTTCTGTTCTCTGTTTATTAAAGCCCACTTTCTGAGCTTTGTCTCCCCTCTCGATCTCTCTGTTTGTTTTGCACAGAAAGCTGTTAGTCAAGCCTGAATTTGTGCAAGTGTAAACAGGCATTGGAGTGAGGCGGTGCACATGCTGTGGGGAGAAGCAAGCGCTCTCTCGGTGTCAAGAAGAAATTGAAATTATTGACGAGGGCTTTTTATATTCAATGCTCAATTTAAAGAGAAAAATACATGCAATGGGAGTTTTATACTTTGGGCTTGTAAATTTTTCAGTTTGATTTTTGTATTCCAGTGCTCTCACTGTTTTTCGTTTGATTGGAGGTAAATAATCTGGAAGTCCTAGCTTTTCATCATTAACATTGTTTCAGTTTAACAATTTATAAGAATTTTGTTGGTGGATTTATCTGCGTAATGAATATTTAATATTGTTAAAACAACAATATATGGCTGTAAAATAATAACAGCTTAATAATTAATCGGAGGGAACGATAAACAGCGGAGAATAAACAGGCAGTGTGAAGAAGACTGTAAACAAGGCACTTCTGCCGCCTATGTCTCTCCCGCACGAGCACACGTACCCTAACCCATTTTTCGCTGAGAAAATGCTGTTTGTTTCTGCAAATAATGACACCAGAATTGTCTTGGGTGCATGGAGTTTATGCTAATGGGTATCTTCAATAGTGGGAAATGTTGAATATGGAATAGTGGAAGAATGTATTCTGTCGGCCCTCTGTTTGATATGTTTGTGTGTTAATGGATTCAGTTCAGTCGTGGCCTCTGTTTGGTGACCATGTTTTATTGCTGCTTGTGATTGTCTCTCCAGGTAAAGCTTAGTAGGTTATGCGAGCAAGACAAGATCCTACAAGAGCTGGAGGCCAGGATACGCACACTCAAAGAAGATAAGGTGCTTTTTTTTCCTTATCTAAATTCAGTATTCCAAATCAGGCTTTAAGGATATTGAATTGTGTATCGACTGAATGGTAAAGAAGGGCAACCCAATTTATGGCAGAAATCATAATTGTCATTTCATATCAATTAAGCTGTATGCACTACCATTTAAAAGCTTGGAGCCAGTAAGATTTATATTTTAATAATTTTTTGTAAAAGAAATTAATACTTTTATTGGTAACACTTAAAGCTTTTATGTATAATCCATTATAAATGTAGTTTTATAATGTTATATTATATATATAATATAGCTTATAATGCTTTGTACAGTCTCATGAATAATCGTAACCACAGTTAATACATTATAACACTTATGAATTCATTGTTACACTATACATTTTAAATTAGTATATAATTTTTTACGACAGTATATAATGCATTACAACGCATATTATGAATAATTATAATGCATTATACCCTTTAATAACCCTTTATGTAAGAACTTAGTTTCTAAGAACGTAGAAAGGATGCATTAAATTGATCCAAAGTGACTGTAAAGATCATGTTAATGTTTCAAAATAATGTTAAAAAGTTACACATTTCTATGCTGTTCTTTTTTCTATTTATTAAGGAATCCTGTTAAAAATGCATCACAGTTTCCATTAAAATAATGGCTGCTGAATTCCAGCTTTGCCAATAAAAGTTGTTGTATTTTAAAATATATGAAAATAGAAACGTTATTGTAAATTGTAATCTAATTGTTCAATATTACGATTTATTGTTGGTGAGACTAATAAGAGACTTCTTTCAAAAACATTGAAAAATCTTACAGACCTCAAACTTTTGAATATCCCAAATATGTCCACTCTGCACAATAAAAATATGATTTATTCTGTGTTTATCCCTATGTTGATTATAATGGATACATTGTGGTTTGTCATGTCAGTCGCTTGAAGATCTATTTCTAGTTTATCAAACCCTTTAAAATTACTTTTACTGTTGTAACCTAATATAGTCGGATTGATTTCACCACAATTTTGACTTGAATATAACCAATTTTAGATGTATAATTAGATGTTGCTACATAAAGCAAAACTTAGACCTCAGTGGAACGCTGTTTTCAGAATTGAACAATTGTGCAGCCCTAATATCCAACCTGATGTCTTGGTCCCTAGTGCTGCTACTTTATCTGCATCATCTTCTATTTTTCACCCAAATCTAGGACAAGCTCGAGTCAGTTCTGGATGTTTCCCATCAGCAGATGGAGCTGTATCAGGATCAGCCCGCCCATGCAGAGAAGATTGCCTATCAACAGAAGTTGTTACGGGAGGACGTGGTCCACATCAGGGCGGACATCTCACAGGTGTCCACGGTGAGGACACATACCGTACCTATGTTAAAGGGGTCCTATTATGCTCTTTTACAAAGTCTTGATTTTGTTTTGGGGGTGTACTAGAACAGGCTCTCATACTAGGTTGTTCGAAAAACACATTATTTTTCACATATTTTACATTATTACAACACCTCTCTCCCCAGTCTGGCATGAACGGCTTGAATAGTTCCTGTATCAAATGAAGGCCCGCCTTCTGAAATACGAAATGCGCTGTGATTGGTTAGCTAGGCCAGTGTGTGTTGTGATTGGCAGCACTCAGCGCCTGGTCGGGAGATGTCATGCCCTTTACCCAGTGGTGTATAAAGTACCTGAAAGCCATACTCAAGTAAAAGTACAGGTATCTTACCAGAAAAGGACTTTGGTGGAAGTTGAAGTCACTGTTTAGAATATTACTTGAGTAAAAGTCTTAAAGTATGTGATATTTATTGTACTTAAGTACGAAAAGTATTTTTTAAATCTTAAACGTACTTAAGTATTGAAAGTAAAAGTACAAGTAAATGCAAAATGGAAAAGAAGCAAATAAATAATATATATACAATGTTCATACACGGCTTGAGTAGCAAGATTGTGTTCAGTTTTAACTCTTTCTTCCATTTTGTATTTTTGGGTAAGAATAAGAAGCACTTCATCCGGTACTTAGTGTCTTTCATTCCAACATAAGAAAACATTTCTGGAATCTGCATCTGCAATAGCATTTAGATGTATTTACACAGTTTAATGTAGGCCTATCTCAGAGGGGACATGGATGCATTTAACCTGCAGTTACAGATG